ACCAAGTTGCTTTTTTATGATATGTAAAGTCCCAAACAATCAATGGTAAATAGCAAAAATAACTTGACACTCATGGAATGGCATTCTACACAGTCATTAAAAAGTCATATTTTAAAACATTCAATAACGTGAGGAAATGGTCACAACAGTAAGTAAAATGGTTTTCTCACATTTTCATGGGGGGAGGGAGACTGGAGGAAAACCAAAATGTTAAGTTATCTCTCTGTGATGTCATAGCAAGTGATATATATTTTTCTTTTATTACTTTTAATAAATATTTACTGAGTGCTACTCTGTGTCAGGCATTAAAACAGATGGGTCCCTGATATCAAGGGTATACCAGTTCTTTTTATACTTTCTCACATGTTCCAGTTTCTCTACAATAAATATCCTTTCATGAGTTTAGCTAGAGTGTAACATGGGATAGATGCTGATTTGGGTAAATGAGTTGTAAAAGGAACTTTCTGGATTAACTGTGGAAGAATTTGAATATGGCCTTGAATATAAATTTAGATGAAAATATTCTGAAATGGCAAAGGAAATTTGGTTGACTAAAACAAGGTGGCCTGTACAAGTCTGCAATGAGTTCATTTTGTTTAAAAACAAAAAAAGGGACAGACATTAATATATTAAAAACATAAAGGTATGCACCAAACTATTAAAAGTGGAGAGCTCTGGGCAGTGGGAATGTGATTTTTTTTTTTTTTTTTTTGGCTTGCTATTTTCTACAATGTTCCTGGAATGCTTCTATAATAAAAGACTTAAAAATTAAAAAATAAAAATACTACTTACTGTGCTAGATTCTATATAACTGGAAGAAGTCAGTAAAGGGAGTCACAACCTTCAGCTCACAACTAATTAGGGAATCAAAATAAGAAAATAGTAAAAGTAATTATTGCAGGACAGATTATAAACATCAAGTAAAATGTGACTATAAGAAAAAGATCTCAATTGATTAGGAACAGAAAGAATGGTGAAAAAGAGAAAAAAGCTTCATAAAGGAATGAATTAGAAATGGAAAGCATCTATTTGATATAGGAAATGACAGGCACTAAAGATCAAGTATGGGCTAACTGTCAAGGAAGAGTAAGACATACAACACAGTTTGGTTAAAATGTAGGACATATATTTATGTTCGAAGTCACTACTTGGTTCAAAGTCACTACTTTCTCTTAGTCACTTTAACTACCCTCTAATGGAGTCTTCCTATTTCCACTCTTGTACTTCTATATTCTCTTTTCTGTACAGCAGCTAGACAGACCCTATTAAAACTCAGATTATGTCACATCTCTACTCAAAAACCCTAGAATGGCCTTCTATCTCACACAGTAAAAAGCCAAAGTCAGAATTTCTACAAAGTCTTACAACATAACCCTTGCCCTCTAACTCTGGCCATATCTACTACCTTTCCCTTGTAGTTCCCCGAATAGCTCAGGCGAACTTTTGCTTCCACCTTTTTTCCCCTCATTTCCCCCCACCTCCTTTAGGTTCTAAAGCCATCTCTGGTCCCATCATACATAAAATACCAATCTCCCACTCCAGAATCAAGGTAAAATTGTCTGTAGTCCTTATTCCTCAAAACTGACTTTATTTTTCTTCTGCGAAACTGAACAGCCGTCTATTTGTCTAACACCCATGCAAACACACATACACATGCATGAAACTGAAGTTCTATGAGGGCTAATTTGGTTTGTTCATTTCAGTATCTCTTAGAACAGGGCCTGCCTGATGTACAGTAAGTAGCAATAAATATTTGCTGTGTAAATGAAAGGAAGAGAAAACCATGGTGTCAGCAGATATTTAGATGAAATCATTTATGGCACATTACAAGTATTTATATAAATAACTTAATTTACTATTTAATTTTCCTCTGGAAACTATTAACCAAAATAGAGCTTATAAATTAAACGTTGAGCACACTGACAAGCTTTAATTTATTGACAATTTATCTTTACAAGGTTTACTGTAATTGGAATTCAGGGTAGTCATGACTGAGAATTGATAGGATGGAGTGGGAAATTTCTTATCCCTTTTCATTTCTTCCCAACTATGAGCAATGACTTCCACTTCCTTGCTTCCTTGCTTCCTCTCCTCTGACCTTTGACTTTCTCAGGGAGTATGAGTCCCTATCTTAGCATAAAGTCAGAAATAGAGTCTATGAATATGATGCAAGGTTACTGAGATAGCTGGCATCAATTAGTTGGAGAGGGCAAGAATTTTTACATATTTTAAAGTTAGAAACTCCTTGTATTTTAAGAGGAAAGTAACACAAAACAACACTAACTCCTCTGTCCTCTTCTTAAACATATAATACTGACAGAATAATACTTTATATTTTTATTTTATTATGATTTCAAGCACAGAATAAAATTTTGGTGGAAGGGGAATGTAACAAATGATCAAATACCCAATACCTAGTTGTATTAAATCTCAATTTTTACCAAATCTGCTTCGTATTTATTTCAATGACAGTTAAAGTTATGACTGGAAATCTCTGGGTCCTGCTATAGCATTCTCCAGGGGTAACTTTTATCTTGATTTGATGTTTACCATTCTCATGCATATTTTTATACCTTTGCTACATATCCTATAAATTCCAGAAAATACATTATATAGTTTTGCATGTTTTAAAACTGTAAAATGGTATCATATATCCTGTCACTCACTAGCTGTTTGACCTTAGGAAAGTTATTAACATCTCTGTACCTCAATTTCCTCTCTGAAAATTGCGGCTAATGGTTTACAGAAATGCTGAGATTTAATGAGTTAATATATACTAATATAAAGAGTTTAATATATATAAATCATTCAGTAAAGTTTGTGACTCACAGGAAGTACTGTATATCAGTGTTAGTAATTATCATATAAAGTTGTAAAAGAACCTGAGAGTGTGTGTGTGTGTGTATATGATCACTAAGAAAAGATTACCTAAATGATGCATATAATCTATACAGTAACAGATATTTTCAAAACTGTAAAAACTAGACATACTCATGAAGTTCAGGCTAGAAAGTTTCACCATGCTACTTATAAAGGAATTGACAGTGCTAAAAAAGAGGGAAAAAGCCTATTTTCAATTACAAATTGTAGGGAATATTAAATGAGACTATAAACATTTGATTTAAATGATTTATGACTGCTTTAAAATATCCAAATACGTAACTGGTATTCTTTTATGAATATGTAACTGGTATTCTTTTTGGGGGAACAGGGTTGGGGGGAAGGAGATCATCCTCAATGAGATGCTATTCAAACACCTCTTAGACTGGTAAAGGAGCACTGCAGATTTCACACAACAGAAAGCATTATCTGATACAAATTTCACTAGTTTTTTAAAACTAGGTTTTAGCTAATTATAAGTAGAACAAATTAAAATTCAAAATATTTTATAATAGGATTCACACAGATTACAGTATTTTCATAAAGACAATTGGATTCTGCAAAATTTAACACAAACATTGATTATCTTTGGCTATGGACTTTACTTTAGTAATAGTTTCTAGGTCAAATGATCAAAAACATAGAAACATAAGTGCCCTATGTTTCTACTTAATTTCCTGCAAGAGCTTTTAAAGATTTCAATGTATACCTATGCTTTGGAGATCAATGAATATATCTAATACATAAACAGGGGATCTAAAGAACACTTATTAGGTGCAATTTACTGGGATACATGCTTAAACAGGATCTATCTTTTATTTCATGTGAAAACAGCTTCACGGACAAAATTGAGATTACCATACTTTGCATATACCTCTCAAAGAGTTAAAAATGACTACTACAAAAGCCAACATTTAAGCCGGCAAGGCGTATAATATGTAGTAAATTGTGCAAGTAATATCAACATAAACTTACCCTAGAGTTTAGCATATATCTCTACATCTAAAAGGTTAGTTTAAAAGCAACAACTAAATAACATCAAGGATTAAGGTATATATCACCACCCAAAACAAAACCAAATGGAAATACAAGAATGTAGCCAGTGAAAGGGAAGATAAGAAAAAGTTCAAAAGTAAAGTTCTACTCTTCTTATTCTAAAGTGAGAACTTTGAAACGCAACCATTGCTTTTCTTTCATTTGCCTCCCCTTGTACCCCAGTAAAGTATTCAGGCATGAGTTAGTCCTTCCCTCTGCCGCAAATTCGGTGAGAAAAAAACCTAGCCACTCTGACTACTTTCCTAATGGAGAAAAGGAGTCTACCACCACTCACTCTACACTATGTCACCTGCCAAGCAAGACGCAGCACCTGCCAAAGCAGGCGATTTAAGAATAATGGTCCAACTTTTCGAACCTAATGGCGGGG